GGGGTTTAATAGAAATTTTGAAATTTGTAATCATTGTTTTTTTCCAGAAAATATTAAGCAGCACAACTATTTTCAATGCATAATTAATAAAGAATGGTATGAAATTAATCAGAATATTAGAATGATTTCTGAAGGATCATGTGACACTGAAGACTGAAGTAATGATGCCGAAAATTCAGCTTTGCCATCACAGGAATAAAATTACATTTTAAAATATATTCAAATAGTTATTTTTTCCTAATATTACTATTTTTACTGTATTTTTAATCAAATGCAGCCTGAGCAAGCATTAGGGATTTTTTTCCAAAAACATTAAACATTAACTTACCAACCCCAAACCTTCGATGGTAAATAAATGTACTTACTTTTATTATTTAGTAAATGTGATGTAGTCCACATCACAGCAGCTTGATCGGAAAAGTGTTTTAATTCCAAAACAAGCTAATTGATATGAATGATCAATGCTCAGTCATTTTTAATCTTTCTCAATTAGAGCCCTAATGCATTACAGAGTCACACACAGAGACAACACCGCAGTTTTGTGATAATGTAAACGATTATGAGAGCCCACCTGGTGCTAATCAGCACAGGTTTAATACGATTCCACCGTGGCGTGCGGTGAGAAAATGTAAAGGAATTAAAACACACGTGTCTGCTTTGCAGTTCAAGGCCCATGCGTCCCGATACTACCCTCTGCTTTGTGAGATCATGCAGTTTGACCTGATCCCGGAGCTGAGGGCCGTCCTGCGCAAGTTCTTCCTGCGCATCGGATTGGTGTTCCAGATCACCCAGACTTTGGAAGCAGATCAGCCTTCAGGCGTCCAAACTCCCAACGACGCCTAGAAGAAGCTACAGCAGTGCCTGCTCCTACTACAGTCTCCGCTTTTCATCTGCAGGACGTGAGCATCTGATCTCCTGCAACCGATGAGGAACGAGGAGATGGAAAAGATGGACTGCGTCAGATATGATGGTACTAATATCAACCCCCCGCCTGCCCTTTGAGGGTCTGCTCTGGACAAACAGCCAATCCCAGATCAGGCACTACGTCCCACCCACTGGACAAATGTCCAGGCCTTGTACAATAGGTTCAAATTATCTAGAACATCATGAGGATGCTGAATATCGCTACTACTATACAAATGCTTGACCTTTTGAGATCTTCAAAAGGTCCAGATATATTTCAAAACAGTGTCTTGGCATTATATTAAAAGCTGTTTGAAGAGTGACAGAAGGGTTGCATATCAAGCAATGTGATGTTTCTCAAGCGATTCAGATTTTTGTTTCATTTTGTTGCGTTTGCACCGCTAATGGCTAACTCCGAAGAAACTAGTTGTACAGAATTCCAGCTTTGTAATATAATCTCACAACACTAGATTTAGTTTCCTGTATCTTTTCGTTTGTTTCTCGGAAATTTGCTGCACTTGTTTTCTTGATCAAAATGCACTGGAGATTTTTACTTTTGTGATAAATTATTGAACTATGCCATCTTTCCCTCCATAACTGTCCAGCTAGAGATTTCTAATACGATATAAAGTGATTAGTTCGATTTACTCCATTTTATATATGCTGACACTTTTTTAATTAAACACTGAGGGCAACTAAGATCCTTCAAAAGGAAAAAAAACTTGAAAATTGAGGGCGAGTTAAATGTGAGCTGCATCTGAATCACTGGTTTGTATCCCTGTTTGGAGTTAGGCTTCACTCTACATGTACAAATTTAAACAAACAAAAACAAAAAGTTAATATATTTAAAATCTTCTCTTTGGTTTTTGGGGGTGGGTTGTATTGTATAGAAATTAATGATAGCTGCGCTTTAAAAACTGTTGATGGAATAAGGATGTGAAGCATTCCTGGCTAGTGAGGGTGACCGTAATGGTACAGCCCTGTAAAGTTTTCTATATGGAATAAAATGATCTGTACAACTCTATATGACACTGGTCATTATCACCACACATTCTAATCAGGTCATAGGTCAATAAAGTTTTGGAACTTGGTGCATTTGCTCTGATGAATTTTGAATTATGAAAGAGAAGCTGGGGGGGGGAAGCTGTTTTCAACGTTGAAAAGAATATGAAGATTTGAAAATTCAGCTTTGCCATTACAGGAATAAATTACATTTAAAATATATATTACAACAGAAAAAAAATATTTCACACTATTAAGGTTTTTACTGTATTTTAATCAAATAAATGCAGCCTTGGTGAGCATATAAGACTACTATTGTTAAAAACAAATTACTTAACGGTAGTGTCAAAACTATATTTAAAATAAAAAATATAATAAAAATGATTGAGACACCATTTGAACAATTTCATTTACGGTTTGAATTTCGTAAAAACAGTCTCGGTTTTTATATGGTCAATTTTGAACCAATTAAATTGTGACTTTTTCCTTCTAATCCCATTTCTCCACAAACTGAGCCATTAAAAAAACGATGGAACGCGAACGCACACGTCACATATAGATGAAATGCAAAGTGTTCAAAAATTCTTAAATATTTATTAAAGAGTCAATACACATTACATTGGCTTATTTTTTCCGACTGTAAGCTTATGCTTGCATAAGCTTATATTCCTACTTACAATTCATGTGTTGTAAAACAATCATTAAAAATGAAAAACGAATCACATATTACAACATTGGAAGTCTATATCTCTCACCTGAGAATTCATGCAGTTTACACATTCATACAAAGTCACAGTATGAAGCATCAAAGTGATTTTCCCAGACTGCACTCTCTGACTGGAGGGAACAGTCTCTTAATGCTACAAGAAGTGTTCCAGAACTTTCTAAGTGCAGTATTTCATTCACAACAATCAAAAGTCTGACAGAAACAAAAGAAACTGGACTAATGAATTGTTAATGTTCATCTTTGGCCTCAAGTATACAACTTGTTCCTTACAAAATAGCTAAATAGTGTAACTGGCATAAGAATTCATAATTCATGCGTCTTGAATGAGATTTAACCATGGTAAGTGGATGGCCCTTCCCAATCCTGGCCTACGTGGTTTTGGCTGGATGGCCTGCGACCGCTCATGAATCTCTTCAGCGTTTCAGAGGAACTAGGACGTAACCAGGTTTCTGTCGCAATGGTGTCAATGGAAACGCGCCGATCGGTTGAAGGAGGAGTCTGTGGCCATAGCTCCTCCCCTTCCTCTGCTGACACTTGCCCTAGATAGCACAAGATACATATCTCAGTGCTTCTAATTACATTTATGGCTTTGTGTTCAGCAAGCTAACAGCTTAACATAGCGCTAACGGATTAAGAAAAGCTTTTGAGTAGCTAAAACAAGATATCAAAATTTAAGTTTTTCATCTTTGTGTAGTTTGGATTCTAGATATATCCACCCCTAAAAGTCACGCAAAGCAACAAACTGTGGTTGGTCGTGTTAAGCCCAAAGTATTCTTCATTTTGCGCACAGTGTGCATGCCGTAAATAAAAATGGCGTACATTTTTATGTCTCATAACTTGTGGAGAGAAATAGCGCAGACACTGGACAAAGTTGAATCTTTCTAGTGCACGTCAGGGTTTTTCCCAAAACAAATTTATGTCCCGCCAAAGCCTTATTTGATCAGTTAATGTAAATAATGAGTGATGTAAATGACTGCTGCACTTGTGATAGCGCGCATGTTAACTGAGGGAGAGAAAGAGTAGAGAGCCCCTCCTTGTGCACTTTCTCTAACCGTCTTACCCTCCCTCAAAATCAACTGACATGACGGTAAAAGGTCGGAAGATTTCGGAGTGCATTCGGAGATTCTTTTTTAAAAACTTGAATTACTGGTGGTGTGAATTGTGCTTAAAAAAAAATTTTTTTTTAAAATCGTCGTCTTATCTTCTCTGACAAGTGTTTCACACATGCAACTAACATAACTTTTAATAAAAAAAAAAATCCTATGCAGTGATGAAGTGTTTGCGATGTCTAACAACCGGGATTAGCACACGCCTGCTAATGTCCGATTCATGACATAACGACTCATTTGAACCGGTTCATTTTAATGAATGGTTAAAACAACTGTTCTGTCCAACCCTAAGAAGAGATGATGCCAACCCCTCACAAGACCTCAGATGATGGCAACCCTCAAACAACATACAAAGCTACCAAATTTTACTCGAAGTTTAATCGCAACATATAATCATTGCAGTTAATTGTGTTCACCGTCTGTTTGATTACGCCATTAACTGCATGAATTTTACTGTACATTTCTGCCATATGGACCGTCACCACTGATAAGCTACTACTAAATATAATGTAGAAACTTTAAAATAGAAACTTAAATTTTCTGTAAAGCTGCTTTGCAACGATTTGTATCGTGAAGACCGCTATACAAATAAACTTGAATTGAATATTAGTTCAAATAAACCACAAAGACTTTTTTTTGACGCAGAAAAAAAGCCTGCGTGTGTTTGGTCACTCAATCAAATGGAGTAAACTTTGAAAGGCTATGCATTTTTGCTGTATGCATATGCTAAATTTCCCCAATATACTTCAAGCGAAATTGAAGAATGAACTGATGTGACCTCATTTTGAACAAACATTTCGATCAGCCTACTAAATTCTACTGGAGTCTGTTGCGGGAGTTCAAAAGGGTTTGTCAAAGACTGGTAAACACATTCACACTAACATTCATCAATTGTATTACTGTATTCATTAGATGATTTTATGATACCTTGTATACATTTTGCTATGGCTGATAACCATAAGTACATCTCAAATAACAACCTAGTTATTTTTTGACGTTGTTTTCCCAATTTGCATTCTTTGTAATCTAAAAAAAAAAAAACTGTACCTGATAGTCAAAAGACATAGCAGTTTTTTGTTATGTCGTTTTTTTTCTTTCTTTCTTGTGAGTATCTTTAAATGCTTATATTTTCCTAACTCTCACCGGATAGTGTATTTTAAGGAAAATGTTTTTTTATATTGTCACACATTGCAAACAAGAACTCTGCCAGGTGTATATCAAGGCCTTAAGTGTCCCTGTCAAAACTAAAGTACACCTAAGGTATTACATGTTGGCATCTTCCTGACAAAGTGCGCCAGATTAAGCTGCAGTGTTGACCAGACTTCATGCCAGTAGTCAAATGTAGTCTGGCTGGGCAAGACTAACCAACCCAAGGTGATTTTCCTTTCAGATTCAGAGCTCCTGACCTGATCTCCAATCATGTTCTCTCATGTTGTTCAGCGATGTCATCTTGTTCTTTGTGCGCTCTCTCAGCCGCTCTATTTCTGTGCTGGTAATCGAGTGCAGAGACTGGCTGTCAGGACTGCGGTCAGGTCGAGCGTACCTGTTTACCACATCCTACCAACAAAACAAAAGTACAGTTATTCAGTCTTTATCGATGCATTCAATTAAAAAAACATTCTACTGTAACTCTGTTATAAATCCCAACCCAATGGCATCTAAATAGTAAGCAGGCTTTAAAGGGATAGTTCACCCAAAAATGAAAATTCTGTCATTAATTACTCACCCTCATGTCGTTCCAAACCTGTAAGACCTTCATTCATCTTCAGAACACAAATTAAGATATTTTTGATGAAATCTGAGAGCTTTCTGACCTCCCATAGACAGCAAGGGTACTACACGCATGTAGAACACACATGCGCTGCGCCTTGTTTACATTCAGAGGAAAGCGCGCTCATGCGTCGTGGCACTCTCCAAAATGGTGCCTGAGGGTGACGCGGAGGAGAAGAATTGTTGAATAAAGTCAATAAAATAAAAAGTGAATAAAAGTTGTTTTTGTTTTCTTAGCGCACAAAAAGTATTCTCATAGCTTCATAAAATTAAGGTTGAACCACAGATGTTACATGGACTATTTTAATGATGTCTTTACTACTTTTCTGGGCCTTGATCGTGGTAGTACCCTTGCTGTCTATGGAAGGTCAGAGAGCTCTCGGATTTCATCAAAAATATCTTAATTTGTGTTCCGAAGATGAAAAAAGGTCTTATGGGTTTGGAACGACTTGAGGGTGAGTAATTAATGACAGAATTTTCATTTTTGGGTGAACTATCCCTTTAAAGATACCTCGTTTAACCGAATTCTAAGGCAGGATGCACATATTAAGTTGAAGTTTACATCTTCCGAACATTCATTCACATATTTGCGCTACGCCAGCATCTTCACACACAGACGAAACTTACTAGAGAAGTGTGATGTGTGACATAAATATATCTGTAAATAAATACTATTTAAATTCACGCCTCGTACACTTTAATGACCTTTGAATGGAATATATACGCTCCCTTCGAACTGAAATCATGGCGAAATATCCTTTGATGTACACTTCGCAGGGCACTTACATTCGAATTGAACAAACGTCTGAAGCGATAAGAGATACACACAAAATGTGCAGAGCGGGGGGGCGTGAGGACTGGAATTGAGAACCGCTGCCAAAATGCATTCCAACAATGGGAGTTGCTGCCTATGTAGAGCGTTCCAAATCAGTCAATTATGAGGTCTGACAGTTGCATTCACATCTCATGTCTTTTGCAGAATCTTGCACGACATTGCATTCTAAAAGTGTGGCGCTCAAGTTTAAAAGTTCAACTTTTAAAAAGCATGATTCTATATGTTGCATTTTTTTTCCATTCTACTGAACCTTGGAAGTCGGCTGCCCATGTAAGAAGAAGCAAGGCAGCTAGGTTTCGGAACAGATCTAAAGACATTGCCTTTGTCAAGTGAGGTTGTAGTTGTGTGTAACTGGGAACTCTTACTTCAGACATGTCTGCCTTCCTGACTGCCGGTCTCGCTCTTTGGTCACGCCGGGATCGTAGAAGGAATGAATCGTCACTGGGGTCTGTGTAGAAACAACTGATTGGTTATTTACAGCCGACACATGTTCAGCAACAGCAGGCTCTGCAGTCCTTCCTCTCTCTCTCTCTCTCTCTCTCTCTCTCGATTCTCTCTAGCTCCAACATGCACGAGTCAAGCAATCAAAGCTTGGTAATTGAAACTGAGCAAATGAAATGGCATTTAATGGATGAGACTGAGACTGTGTTGGGAACTCATTTACAAGGTGACTGTCGATCTCTCTGGGGTGCCGCTGAGGACAGGCATTATCCTCACCCCAGAGTCAATCTCTCTTCTGTCTGGTATTCATAGCTGTCACACTAGCTGTCACTCGTCCCTGGTGGCAGTGACAGCAGCTGTCTGACGGCGGTGTCACGCATTGTCTGCTGCTCATACTGTCACATACACACCACTATACTTGTAAAAACATCCCATAGACATCTATTGTTTCTAAATGATGTTAATCGATAAGCCCCAAACTCTTAATGCTACACCTTAAGTGTATTTTAACTTAGATATCACATTATATTAATAAAGCGAAAATGTTCAAAATGAACATGAACTACAGAACTAAATATCACAATAACATTTTTAGGTTTACAATAGGTTTTTGCAGGAGATCTTGCATTGATCTTTAATGATACAAGGACTGTGTTGTGGACAAGCATTGTAACTTGTGTGTGGCAAGATTCCACATCATTTTTGAAGAATGTCGGTAATCACCGAGATATTTTGAAGAATGTCGGTAATCAAACAATTGATGGTAGCCATTGACTTCCATTGCATGCTTTAAAGGGGTCATATGATGCTGCTAAAAAGAACAGTATTTTGTGTATTTGGTGTAATGAAATGTGTTTATGCGGTTTAAGGTTAAAAAAACACATTATTTTCCACATATATCTCTTTGGATTTGAGACTTTAGTCTTTGCAACTTTACAGATCTTCTTTATGCACCAAGAGCTTGCTTGTAACACTCCAAAGAGAAAGGAAAAATTGAAATCGCATCATATGACCCCTTTAAGTCAATAGCTGTTTTGGGAGTCAATTAAGCGTTTTGTTATACTTAAAAAGGCCAAAGTCCCCCCCAAAAAACCTTTCGAAATTCATGTGGAATCTCGCCACACACGTTGAGTTATAATAACGCTTTTCCAAAAATGAAAATTTAAATAATTTACTCACTCTCATGTCATACCAAATCTGTATGACTATATGATACATTTCTCAAAAATTACTCACGTTCAACAAAAGAAAATGTCATACAGGTTTGGAACGACATGAGGGCGAGTAAATGCTGACAGAATTTTCATTTTGTGTGAACTATCCCTTTAAGTATGTATACTGGTGGGTGTAATCTAAATGTTGTCTAAACTTTGCACATGAAAAAGTATTTGTGACACATTTGTGAGTAAAACACTTCCCTCCATTTTTCATTTTAGGGGAACTTACTAATAAAGGCGCTCTCTGAGTCTAACAGCAAGTGTCTGCCTGGACCCTCTGCAGAATTCAGCCTCTGGGGGGATAAACACATCAATAAACACGCCAAGTCAATAACCAAAACCAGCACTAACAGAGTGCAGATACCCTTTAAGGGCTCAGAAAAATGGGTCACGGAAAAACAGTCAAGATTTTTTTGGTGGTGCACACGCAACTCACTTGCTCATGATGCCGCTGCCCTGAAGACACCATGTCAAAGTAACCTGCCCAGGAAATACAGGTACTGTATGAGTCTGCAGTTTTTAAATGTAATTTTCAGCAATTATATATTTTATTTATATAGTACCATTTAAAAGTTTTTTTTAATGATTTTGAAAGTCTCTTAAGGCCCATTCAGCCCAAGAACCACAAATATAAAGATAACTATAACGGTAACTATATTAGCATCCACATCAACAAATGATATTGTTCTGTTTATTCTAAGTGCACACGGCAGATAAATTGTCTGCAGCTTTAAAGGGGTCATATGATGCGATTTCATGTTTTCCTTTGTCTTTGGAGCGTTACAAGCTGTTCGTGCATATATAAGAACCATAAAGTGCGCAACACGTTCGTCCTACGTCATTCGCCCCAGAACAGTCAACAGAAGTGAGGAAAAAAGTATTTATAACATTTTAAATATGAATATTTTTATTACAAAAACGCATCGATTTGCTGCAGGAGGCCTTTATTCACCCCCCGGAGCCATGTGAGGCACGTTTTATTATGGATGCGCAAGCTTTATTTGACTACTTTTGGACTGTTGAACAAAAACACTCGCCTACTCCCATTCTAAAGCTTGGAATTTTTAATATAACTCCGACTGGATTTGTCTGAAAGAAGAAAGTCATATACACCTAGGATGCTTTGAGGGTGAGTAAAACATGGGCTAATTTTCATTTTTTGGGTGAACTAACCCTTTAAGACGCATCCACACTAGTGCTGGGCGGTATGACCAAAAATTTATATCACGGTATTTTTCAAAATGATACCGGTTTCACGGTACATGACGGTATTTTTTTTTTCATGCATGACCGGGTGTTAACCATATTTTCTACTGATTGAGAGAGGAAATACTGCAGTATATTGACTTAGAATGCCCTATTTTACTGTCATGATGAGTGAATATTGTCAAAAAATACCACACTAAATAGTGACTAAACACGACCCCTTTTAATACATGTTAACCAGGAGTCACTCATTTATAATCGATGTGATATTAACAGACGAACTACGCTCATATTTATAATTCCCAACAATCAGTAAGCGACAGGTGCTAGGAAACGCTGTTTTTTTACTCATTTATTGACGAGTCGGCTGCGGTGCGTCCAACTGAATGCGCTGCTTCTCTGCCGCTCACTGCACAGAACAGACGCCGAGAGAGGTGACTCTTCTCCGGGAAAGTCAGACCTCGCGTTCGCGGGACAGCACTGGCGAAATCTTCCAACTGAACCATAGCTAAGGTTTATCCAAAAAAGTCGCTAGGTTTGTCAGTATGAATATTCTATGGAAAAAAGCCGCTAAAAGGGTCTGAAAGTTGCTAAATCTAGTGCTGAAGTCGCACTTGTGAGACGCGGGAGCTGATGGCAGGGGGCGGTGGATATTTGTGGTGGTCAATGTGGATATTGTGGATGAGTTCTTCTGTGTCATCACGTTCTATTAGTTCTACAGCTTCAGTTTCAGAACTTTCACACTTAGTAACACATACAGCCGTTCCCTCACCACAGTGCAACAGTGAAAAGGGACCCCTTTCAAACAGTGTCGCGTTCCGAACGTTATTTAAGCGACATACACCGGTATTGCGGTATTTAAAAAATTAATATCATAACAAAAATAAACACCGGTATTCGGTATGAACCGGTATACCGCCCATCACTAATCCACACCTTCCTAAAAAGCCTCATTAAAACACGCCCTCACAAATCTACGTCACTGTGTGGGAAGATTTGCATAACACCGCCCAAATATATACGCAAAGAAAGAAGGTGTAACTTTTATTCTTGCTGTAGTATTGTTGCTGCCGCCATGGAAGCTGTTATTCCAAATATGATAAGGGGCGTAACATTTCAGTCACATGCTTGAGGTATTCGGCCAATCACAATGCACTGGATAGCTGGCCAATCAGAGCACACTGTGGTTTTCAGAACAATGAGCTTTGTAAAAATCAATGTGTTTCAGAAAGGCAGGGCAGAAATGTACTGTATGTGGAAAATAATGTTTTTTGAACCTTAAACCGCGTAACCACACTGCATTACACCAAATACACAAAATAATGTGTTTTTTAACAATGTCATATGACCCCTTTAAAATGCTCAAGCTTTTTAAAGCAGAATGGTTTCTGATTGGATGTCAATGTTTTGATCAGCTGGAAAAAACAACAACAATATTGTTTCTCTTTGACATTATCATTATAGTTGTGGTTTATATAACTATTTTTTTAAAACTTTACTGTTATCATTATAATTGTCTTTCTTGGTGTGAATTGGCCTTTATGCTCCCAAACGTGTCATTTATTTGATCAAAAATACAGTAACAGTAATATTGTGAACTATTATTACAATTTAAAATATCTGTTTTATATTTTAGTATTTTAAAATGTGATGGCAAAGCTGAATTTTCAGCAGTCTTTACTCCAGTCTTCAGTGTCACATGATCCTTCAGAAATCATTCTAATATGCTGATTTAGTGAAGAAACATTTCTTCTTTTTAATATTGATGTTGAAAACAGTTGTGCTGCTTAATATTTTTGTGGAAATTGTGATGCACCTTTTTAGGATTCTGATTTTATGCATCCTTGCTGAAAAAAAAAAAAAGTTAAAAAAACATACAAACCAAAACCAAAATGTACTATGATATACAAAAATGTCAAAAAACGTTCATCCTCAATAACAGACTGACCAGCAGCTCTGCCCCTCCTCAGACTGTTGATGGTTCGTTGCTGTTGTCGTAACAGAGCCTGTTGCTGGATATCTAGACTGTGATTATCACTGGGAGAGTCAAGATACGCCTGCCGCACCTCCTCACGAGATGCACCATCTGATAACACAAACACACACAGAGATAAGAGTCATCCTCTCCTCCAGGACTACAGCCTCACTGACAGATAATGCAGGGACGTTGAATACAGCTATTGAGCGGCACACTAACAAACATTATCCATTCACAGAAAACACTGACTCGTATAGCAAATAAGTCTTGTGCATCACGCATGGCAGGAGAAAAGCAGCTCTGCCACAGCCAAAGCAGTTGGCACAGCGATGTAGAGAGAGAATCAGAGCTAAAATAAAGAGCATGACAAAGCAAGGGCATGGAGCCAAGTGCTGAGTCACGGTTCACAGATATGCTACTCATTTCTCTCCTGCAGGGGGGTTTGATGACTGATACGACCGTTCACCCCATGAGGTGGGCAGATGGAGAGGAAGAGCTGTTGAATCCATCTTTTGAGCAGAGAATAAGGTTAAAAGTTTTCATGAGTGACATGAAACTGATATTGCTCTAAGAAAACACATTAACATTTGATACTATATTAGCATCAAAATAATCCTAGTTTCATTCAACCATATCCAGGTTTTTGCACTATGGATGCAAGCGTAATTGACACAGACTGTGTTATTTTAGTATTATTTATATACTATTACAGTATTTATTCCCATTTTGAATCAGCTTTTATTTTTGAATTAGCTTTTATATTTTTTGTTTTCACTTTAGTTTTAGTTTAGTAATTTTACTATGCGTTTATCATTTCTTCAGATTTCTATGCATCTTTATTTTATATCTATTTCAGTTTTGCCTATTTTGTTCTTCAACTTTACATTTTTATCATGCAAGTATTTTTATTTTTAATTTTGTTTCTATTTATTTATATATTCTATTTTCAGCTTCTTTTCATTTAATGTAATCAATTATTTGTAGTTAACAGTAATAACCTCGATTACAAATAGCAACTTTTTTATTAACTTACTCTATCCACCCATCCATTCAGCACTAGTTTTAGAGTTGACTCTAAAACTAGAAATCCTTTTATGGCAAGTCAGTCCACTCGTTGGCCATCTTGGCATGCAGTATTTCGCTGAACTCATTTAGCCAGTGTGGTAATGTGTGACTTTAATAGGTATCTGAAGAGCATATGGTAGTTTTTTGATGTTACACTGAAGCTAACAAAGGATCAGAGCGTAAGTAACAGGAAATGAGTGAGGCTATTGGTGGATATATGAAGGTAATAAAGGCAGGTGAATGGGATTCTGGGAGCCATCATGGTTGTGTGAAATTACAGACCCGTTGAAGAGTTCTGGAGAGGTTTTTCAAGCAAAAGACAGGAAATTCTGTGTCACATTTACCTCTGTACTTCGGACGGTTAAACTCCTGCAGGTTCTGCATGTTGACTGCTGCAGTGGTGTGGGAAGCCGGCCTCCTGATGTGGACTTGTTTGCGTAGCCTCGCCACTTCAAAAACATCCTCCGGGAGGTGCTCTCTTGGCCTGTTCAAAATGTAAAGCATAAGGGTCAGAGGGACAACATAAACCTTGCCAAGATGATCTTGCATGGTTAATTTTGTGATATTGACCTGTTGACTGTACATTATCCCATATTACATGGCTAATTACCAAATAAATAGGGACAATGGTCAAATATGCAGTTTAGCAGTCATTATTCCAGAAAATATTGATCACTTAGGATGTTTGTGGGGGGGAAAGAACTTTATTATAGGTTCTAACAGACCACACATGTTCTGAATGTGTCTGTGCAGGATGTTTGCTACCTGCTGTGAACAGGAGGGGTTTGATCATTTCTGTTAGACTGCATCAGTTCTCCCTCCAGACGTCTCTGTTCGCTCCGCAGCTGCCTACGCAAGGCCGATAACTCCCTGATCACCGTATGCTTTTCTTCTGAAACACAAAATCAGTATACAATTCAGGGATTCGGTCCTTTACAGCTCTGGTGGCTACAGGATGTGATATAAGTTACCTGTGGCCCTGATCTCGTTCCTGCGTGCAGGCACTGGGGGAGAATGTGGTGCTGACATTGATCGCATCTGTTCGAAACAAACAAAACAAAAAAAAACGTAATTAGTCACTTCACATGTCATTCACTTAGACGTTCCTGTCTAAGTGGGCGGTTCTTGTCAAGAATAAGCTGTAATGTGGACCCTAATTGGGTGTTTCTTCAACTTTGGGGACATTTTTTGTGTTGTTGTTTTTTTTTCTTTTTTTGTTATTAAAACTAACAAACTGTAACTTTTTGTTATATGAAGATCACATTAAATCCGTCTTGAAAACTTTTTTTTTTATATATTATATTAAAATTGTTCTTTTAATGTGCATTATTCCCAGTCAAGCTATGATTTTTTCAATTTATGTGAAGCGTTTGGAAATATAAATTAATTATATGTGAAATTAGCCTTAGCAGAACTTTTTTTGCCATTTTATTTATTTAAAAATATTTCATTTGACATATGGTGTAAATGACAATGATATGGAAACCCGTTTCCGCCACTAAATAAAAAATAAAACAAGGTAATTGCGACTTTTTATCTCACAATTCTGACTTTTTTCCCACACAATTTTTTTTTTTTTTCAATTGCGAGTTATAAAGTCAAAATTGCGAGTTATAAAGTCAGAATTGCGAGATCTAAACTCGCAATTCTGCCTTTTCTTCTTGGAATTGCGAGTTTATATCTTGCAATTCTGACTTTATAACTCGCAATTCTGAGAAAAAAAGAAAGTCAGAATTGCGAGATATAAACTCAGAATTGCAACTTTATATCTCGCAATTTTGACTTTATAACTCGCAGTTGTGAGTTTATATCTCGCAATTCTGAAAAAAAATCTGAATTGTGAGATAAAAAGTTGCAATTACCTTGTTTTATTTTTTATTCAGTGGCGGAAACGGGCTTTCATACAATGACAATAACAATGTGGTGAGAATGTTCATGACTTTCAAAAAAAAAAAAAGGTTCCCCTGTTGATGCAAGTTTAAACATGCCTGGACACTGTTAATGGACAAAGTAAACTAGTGAGTTTGTAAAAAGCGTTTATTTAAATAAAAAAAAAATGTGCCCATAACTGAATAAAACCCCAAGCATTGCCAAAATAGTTGGTCTATGAAGTAAGAAGTAGTTGTGCGCATGTGTGTCACTCACAGACAGAGTTGCAGAACAGCGGTGGCTCTCCACCGATGGAGGTCTGGGCGTCTGCTGACGTAGTTTCTTCTGCAGGGCTGGTAGGGGTGGTGACGGTGCCCTGTGGACCTTTTGGTATTTGAGAATAATGTGTCAGTACATTGTGTGCACATATGAACAAATAATGTGCATTCCTCACCTCCTCCAGATGTGTCTGTTTCTCTCTCTCCTGTTTCTTCCTCAGGGCTTCGTTCTCCTTCTCCTCTGCTTCTTTCTTCATTTTCTCAGCCTCTTTACGACGCTCTTCGGCTTGCCTGACCAAATCCTCATTTTTGGCCATTTGCTGTGAAATAGGTGACAGAAAAGAAGCACATCCTGTGGTTCTGTACCTTTCTTTTAATTTGCACTGTGTCATTGTTCATCTAATTTTCACGGACAAGATCCTATCATTTTCCATTAATTTCAATAGGAATCTACATAATTTCAATAGGAATCTGGAATTTCATGTGATAGCGATAGAATTTCCCCACACAGATTTCACTTTGGATTTAGGTTGGTCAAGTGAATTCACCACATTGACTAACAGAAAGCCGGAAAATTATTTGGTTTGAACGTGAGTTGTGCTTCACTGACAATCACTGACAATGGATATAAATCTATTCTGGCTGTGAAATTATTTCACCAAAATTTTGGCAATGTGACTGCTGGTACAGCAGATGCTGTAACTACACCATTACGAGGGTAAAAAGCATCTTTTTCCATTGACAGCCATTCAAAAGTTGCTGTTTGTTAGGGATTATAAGGGAAAGCTTTTATCGTTTGCCGTTTTTTGTCACGCTTGGTTAGAACACTGGGTTAAAGCCTTTAGAGGATAGACTATTTCAAGCTTAAAAAAAAGGTTCCCCTGTTGATGCAAGTTTAAACATGCCTGGACACTGTTAATGGACAAAGTAAACTAGTGAGTTTGTAAAAAGCGTTTATTTAAATAAAAAAAAAATGTGCCCATAACTGAATAAAACCCCAAGCATTGCCAAAATAGTTGGTCTATGAAGTAAGAAGTAGTTGTGCGCATGTGTGTCACTCACAGACAGAGTTGCAGAACAGCGGTGGCTCTCCACCGATGGAGGTCTGGGCGTCTGCTGACGTAGTTTCTTCTGCAGGGCTGGTAGGGGTGGTGACGGTGCCCTGTGGACCTTTTGGTATTTGAGAATAATGTGTCAGTACATTGTGTGCACATATGAACAAATAATGTGCATTCCTCACCTCCTCCAGATGTGTCTGTTTCTCTCTCTCCTGTTTCTTCCTCAGGGCTTCGTTCTCCTTCTCCTCTGCTTCTTTCTTCATTTTCTCAGCCTCTTTACGACGCTCTTCGGCTTGCCTGACCAAATCCTCATTTTTGGCCATTTGCTGTGAAATAGGTGACAGAAAAGAAGCACATCCTGTGGTTCTGTACCTTTCTTTTAATTTGCACTGTGTCATTGTTCATCTAATTTTCACGGACAAGATCCTATCATTTTCCATTAATTTCAATAGGAATCTACATAATTTCAATAGGAATCTGGAATTTCATGTGATAGCGATAGAATTTCCCCACACAGATTTCACTTTGGATTTAGGTTGGTCAAGTGAATTCACCACATTGACTAACAGAAAGCCGGAAAATTATTTGGTTTGAACATGAGTTGTGCTTCACTGACAATCACTGACAATGGATATAAATCTATTCTGGCTGTGAAATTATTTCACCAAAATTTTGGCAATGTGACTGCTGGTACAGCAGATGCTGTAACTACACCATTACGAGGGTAAAAAGCATCTTTTTCCATTGACAGCCATTCAAAAGTTGCTGTTTGTTAGGGATTATAAGGGAAAGCTTTTATCGTTTGCCGTTTTTTGTCACGCTTGGTTAGAACACTGGGTTAAAGCCTTTAGAGGATAGACTATTTCAAGCTTAACACACTCATATATTCAATCTGGGTCAAGACCAGTGCTTCAAAGTGAATACATCTTCCTCTCGGCAGGCCATTTTTGAGATTCGCATGATATAACTGCAAAACAAGAACCTCTTTTTCTTTCTGACGCTTCCTCTCCTGCTCTTCCTCGTACTCCCTTTGGATCCGAGCTCGCTGTTCGGCCAGCCGCCCCTCTTCTTTCTCTTCCTCGAGCCTGCATCGCTCTCTCTCTTCTGCCTCCTTTCTTCTCTTTTCCTCGATCTGTTCATCCCAAAGATGATGACAAAGTGAGACGGCAGGCTAAAAGCACAGACAGCAGAATCCAAAGTTAACTGAATGTCCGTACCTGTTGTTTCAAACAATCCTTGTAATTTTCCTGATCATGGAGCTGCTGCGGAGTGGGCAGTTCATTGAAAAGGTTACCCCGGGCTTGCACAGACGGCTGAGAAGAGCAAAAACCTGCAGGCTCTACAGGGGCAGAAAAGATTTGGATGGATTGCATGCAAAGGTCTTTTATTTTTAGCTTCTAAAAGGTTTGATGATAGTATCCACAATCAGTTTTTTTTATATATTTATATTTCAGTAAATATAAATAATCTGTAATTTAAAAAAAAATACATTTCATTAAATTTATATTAGTTTTAAATACACCAATTAATAGCCTCCTCTAAGTGCATGTCATTGCAGATGCAAAATTTAATTCCATTTAAATTCCACTCTAGTTACATGCTTTTTATGATTGTGAGTCAAACTGTAATTCTGTGGCCACAGTACTTGATGCACGAGGTAAAGTTTCTGGCACTGGAATCCGGGCTACTCTGCCTCCGGAATCATACGCTTCCACATTTGTTTTATGCATTTGTTTCAAATCACCTGGAAACACAAAAATGTTACATTAGTACTATAATTTATACCAGAAATTTTCAGAATCAGTTTGATGATCAAAAAATATAGCATGGACAGAATATATATACAAATTGTATAAAGTTTCCAATCCAAAATCTGTAAATTAACTGACACCACGGAGCAGCTATAAGTGGGAAGCTTGTGATTTATTTGAGTTCAAAAGTTTGGGTCAGTAAGATTTTGTTTGTTTTTTGCAAGAAAAAGCACATTCGATTGTTCAAAAGGGACTGTAAAATAACATTAACAACATTAATCCTTTCTGAAGGATCGTGTACATTTTATACTTTATTTTGGATCAAATTTAATCAATGCAGCCTTGGTGAGCATGAGACCCCTTTCAAAAAAATAAATAAAAGCAGTATATAGCTGTCACATATCATAGTTTTACATACCCCGCTTTGCCATCACAGAAAAAATTGTATAAAATTATTAAAAATATATTACAATAGAAAACTGTAAAATAATAATATTTCACAATATTACAGTTTTTACTGTATTTTTGATCAAATAAATGCGGCATTGGTGAGCATAAAAGACTTCGGTCAACAACATCTTTCCGAAGTTTTGAATAGTAGTGCACATGCAATTCATTTTTATCCAACATAATTTAATAAATTATTTAATTTTAATTCATATTTTCTTGAAAAGTAGCCAGTTTTAATAAATGTGTCTGTATCATCACTCCTTAAATGACTTGATCTTGACTTGGCATGATTTTGTTCCAATGTCTGATGTCTTGACATCACAATTCTGACATAATCTGTTATTAATATTCAATTAATTGTTGTAATATGGCTGTTAATTAAAGAATGTTAATTAATAAATTTTTGGTGATTAAAATGTAAAGCTGTGTAACCCTGTTAGTGCACCTTTCCATAAATTAAATTAAAATCATCTGCACCTTTTCTATGGCATGATAATTAATCTCATAACATAAATTATTGGGAGAGTACCTGCTGCTTAAGGGCTTCCTGATAGCTAACAGCACTTTCCTTGGGCTGCTGCAGCCTCTCCGGAGGAAAGAACGCTGGTCCTGATGGAACAACTCCAGCATGGCTGATCGCTCTATGGAGAGACAGAGAAAAGCATTATGTTATTCTGTTGTATTCTGTTATATCTGAATAAATGTGCCCCCTACTGGTACCTCAGCATAACTTGCCATAAAAAAAATAACCAAGTAACTCAAACATTATGACTTAAAATCTATTCAGAAATGCATATTTTAAAGTATTATGGATTTTATTTTGTCTTGTCATTTCAATGTATATTGTTTTAAATGAGGTGCAATTAAATGACAGTTGAATAAGCCACTTGCAAACACATTGTAAAATCCCTGTCATGTGACCAACTCAATTCTGAAGCTAAATAACTGACATTCTGTATTAAAACTCATGCTTACTGTGTGAGGCCTCCAGACGGAGGCTGCAGAACAGGCCACTGTGCTTCTGGAGGGATGAGTGCCTGCTGACCCACAGCTGGTCCATCTAACACAAACAAAACGAACAAATCACAATAAACATGCAATCAACAGCTACATTCATCATAAAATTGGCAGGGACTCCAAACTATAACACAACTACTGCAGAAACAACTTTCGTATTACAATACTGGCTAACACAAATATCAATGAATGACAGAGAATAATGACATACATTAGCACAGATGTATTTAGTTTAACCAAATATGACATATGTGGTTATGCTACTTACAGTAGGCCAGATTGCCATTGGGGTCTAGAGGATTTCTAGCTCCATAATAGTAATGTGCATTATCATAAGGAGTTTGATAGGAGTCAGCGTGGGAGGGACCCAACGGAGGACGCGCACCTGTAATTCTGACATCAGAAAACAGACATATTTCATTAAACATACATAAAATCCTGTCTATATTCAAGATTCTTTATTGTCACTATACAAGTATAGTGAAATTTGAGCAATCCTAACAGTGCAGTCACATGTAACTTAAACATCTGTAATACAGAAAAAAAGAAAAAAAAAAAAAGAAAAAAAAAAAAAAATATATATATATAGTATTATTATTTATTAAGGTATGTTATTAAATAGCTTATCTTTTGTTTTCAGTACAATTACAATACATTTCAGTACAATTATTGTTTCGGTGCAAAATCTAAGAACATAACTCAAAATCTAAGACAAACCTTGGGGCAACTATCTCCCCCAGGGTTCTTGAGAGGCTTCTGTGATTGTCTTCAGTAAGAGAGGTGGTATCATTGGCCCCAAACCCTGCTCCAGCCTCCAGACCAAGGCCTGGTGTGTTAGCAAGCTGGCTTAAGACAGTGCTATGGTCTAGAGATGGAGACTGGAAAGCAACACGGGGTCTCTCAGGGGGTGCTGTCTCCTTTGGTGGCTGTGGAGATCTCTCTTCTTTGAGCCACCTGGCAGAGTCAGCCCTGAACTCCTCCAGACCCAGCCCTGGGTGGTAGGATACATCCATTCTCCTACCCTCGCGTTCCCGGGTCACGGCACCAAATTGTTTGATTCTGTTTGGCTGTGGGAAACAAGGTGAGATGGCTGTAAATAGGAGCACAGAAGGTGTTGCACAGCTATGGCTGCAGTGAAAATGTGTGTCAAAGTCTAGTCTATCGACTCAAATTCTGTTCCAATGTGAGAGAGGGACAAAAACATCTTCTTGCATGCTATATTACAAATCTTCTAAAGCCATACAATTACTTTGTGTGAGGAACAGGCCAAAATTCAAGTTATTCACTGATAATCACCTATTTAAAATGTAGTGCCATGTTTTGTATGAACTACTTTTTTTTGGTTTTTTATTTTTCTATTTCATTATGGCCACAAGAAAATAAAGTACATTTTAGAGCCATTGAGAGTTTTTGCATACTGAATGCTTCATAACAATTTGAAGAGCTCAAAGACAAAAAATAAATATTTTGCATAAAATAAGCTTCATTTTCATTTTATTATTACTTCATATTTTTTCACATTTTATTATTATTTCATAATTATATATTATATTATAATAATTGTACTTCTTGTTCTTTAAATTGCCCTGAAAATGTCATTATGCAAAAAAATAAAAATAAAAAATTAAGCAGCACATTCCTAGTTATTTCCCATTTTTAAATCTTAGATTTTAAATATTAAAAAATACAATAAATATAATATAATTAAACATCTAGAAATGTTATGCTTATTAATTAATTTAAAATAAAAACCTATTCTTTAAATTTAATATAGAAACCATATAAAATCTAAATATAAAACAATGAATATTCAAAAGCCTGAGGACCTTCACCTTTTTTTCAGGATCAACAGCGCCTGTTGCAGCCACTCTCAACTCTAGCTCCTTCTCCCTGTAAAATTGAGTTTAGATGGTGAAGTGAATATTTGAGCCCTTAAAGATTTTAATTCAAATACCTACAATCAGCATATCAAATACTTGATGTTTCTCACTTCCTTTTGTTCTTCTGTTGTTCGGCTATTTGCTGTAGCAGCTCCAGTCTGTACCGTTCCTTCCTCCTCTGAGAGGCCTCATCACCTTCAGTAGCACCTAAATAACCCAGTCACAGGTCAGAAATTATTCACATTTTTATATATAAATTTTACATACAGTTTGATTTGACCCAACACTCGTTGTCTTACCAATCATGAGTCCTGTAGCAAACTCAGTCATGTTCTGCTCGTTGACAGATCTGCTTTGCGCTGGAGTCGGTGCTTGTAGACTACATCAAAAATAAATAAATAAATAAATAAATTCACACAAAGGAACAAAAAACTCCATCCAGTGTCTTACACTAAACACACCTGATCTCTGCAGCTCTGGCCAAACTATTACGTCACACACATCACATATACAGTGAATTAAAGAGCCTGGCTGCAGGGCCATCAGAGGCTTTGAACCTCCCCATCAACACCAATCAATACAATCCCACTGACAGAATGAACAATAAATCCAGCGTTTCCTGTCTCTGTATTGTTAGAAACCCTCAAGTAGAAAAATCCTACAAAAGACATGAAATCTTAAAGGTAAAATGAAGGCTGAAAACCATAATGTCTTTCATTTTTTTCCACTGGAAAGGCAGCAAATTGATAGTAGGGTTTATAAATACAGACTTCTGCTAGAGTAATTGCCACTTCAGCTATTTGATTCACTGCAGTTTTATTTTCAGTCAAAGATTGGCTTTAAACCCCAATTACTCTAATTGCAGATCAGTACTTGAGTTGAAGTGCAGTTAGGGTCTGTCTATTCTCCTGACAGCTGTCTGCATTGACTGTGTCTAGTAGGAAAGACGTCAAATTTAACAGAGATTACAGCCTGTACAACCCTTCTACTTTCTACATTTGCTTTTATTTAGCTCTTCAACTGTTCAAGTTATTTTTATTTGAATGTTGCTATGGTGATGATAGTTATTTTTTGCAGATATTGTCGATTTGGTTGAGGCTGTTAATTTGACGTCCTCTACAAGTTGTGAAAAACACCATCTGCAAATGTTGCGTCTTGATATTATTGTAAAAACACATTTATGCCTTCTCTGCTTAAACCATCTTCCATTTAAACATTATATTGCACTGTAATATATATATATATATATATATATATATATATACTCCCCTCCAAAAGTACTGGAACAGTGAGGCCAATTCCTTTATTTTTGCTGTAGACTGAAAACATTTGGGTTTGACATCAAAAAATGAATATGAGACAAGAGATCAACATTTCAGCTTTTATTTTCAGGAATTTTCATCTAGATCTGATAAACACAATTTTGAAGATAGCACATTTTGTTTGAACCCACCCATTGCTCATGTGACCAAAAGTATTGGAACATGTGACTGACAGGTGTGTTTTGTTGCCCTGATTAACAATAACACAGCTACATATATGTATATATACTGTATACAGTGGGTACGGAAAGTATTCAGACCCCCTTAAATTTTTCACTTTTTGTTATATTGCAGCCATTTGCTAAAATCATTTAAGTTAATTTTTTTTCCTCATTAATGTACACATAGCACCCCATATTGACAGAAAAACACAGAATTGTTGACATTTTTGCAGATTTATTAAAAAAGAAAAACTGAAATATCACATGGTCTTAAGTATTCAGACCCTTTGCTGTGACACTCATATATTTAACTCAGGTGCTGTCCATTTGTTCTGATCATCCTTGAGATGGTTCTACACCTTCATTTGAGTCCAGCTGTGTTTGATTATACTGATTGGACTTGATTAGGAAAGCCACACACCTGTCTATATAAGACCTTACAGCTCACAGTGCATGTCAGAGCAAATGAGAATCATGAGGTCAAAGGAATTGCCTGAAGAGCTCAGAGACAGAATTGTGGCAAGGCACAGATCTGGCCAAGGTTACAAAAAACTTTCTGCTGCACTTAAGGTTCCTAAGAGCACGGTGGCCTCCATAATCCTTAAATGGAAGACGTTTGGGATGACCAGAACCCTTCCTAGAGCTGGCTGTCCGGCCAAACTGAGCTATCGGGGGAGAAGAGCCTTGGTGAGAGAGGTAAAGAAGAACCCAAAGATCACTGTGGCTGAGCTCCAGAGATGCAGTCGGGGGATGGGAGAAAGTTGTAGAAAGTCAACCATCACTGCAGCCCTCCACCAGTCGGGGCTTTATGGCAGAGTGGCCCGACGGAAGCCTCTCCTCAGTGCAAGACACATGAAAGCCTGCATGGAGTTTGCTAAAAAACACCTGAAGGACTCCAAGATGGTGAGAAATAAGATTCTCTGGTCTGATGAGACCAAGATAGAACTTTTTGGCCTTAATTCTAAGCGGTATGTGTGGAGAAAACCAGGCACCTGTCCAATACAGTCCCAACAGTGAAGCATGGTGGTGGCATCATCATGCTGTGGGGGTGTTTTTCAGTTGCAGGGACAGGACGACTGGTTGCAATCGAGGGAAAGATGAATGCGGCCAAGTACAGGGATATCCTGGATGAAAACCTTCTCCAGAGTGCTCAGGACCTCAGACTGGGCCGAAGGTTTACCTTCCAACAAGACAATGACCCTAAGCACACAGCTAAAATAACGAAGGAGTGGCTTCACAACAACTCTGTGACTGTTCTTGAATGGCCCAGCCAGAGCCCTGACTTAAACCCAATTGAGCATCTCTGGAGAGACCTAAAAATGGCTGTCCACCAACGTTTACCATCCAACCTGGCAGAACTGGAGAGGATCTGCAAGGAGGAATGGCGGAGGATCCCCAAATCCAGGTGTGAATAACTTGTTGCATCTTTCCCAAAAAGACTCATGGCTGTATTAGATCAAGAGGGTGCTTCTACTAAATACTGAGCAAGGGGTCTGAATACTTAGGACCATGTGGTATTTCAGTTTTTCTTTTTTAATAAATCTGCAAAAATGTCAACAATTCTGTGTTTTTCTGTCAATATGGGGTGCTGTGTGTACATTAATGAGGAAAAAAAATTAACTTAAATGATTTTAGCAAATGGCTGCAATATAACAAAGAGTGAAAAATTTAAGGGGGTCTGAATACTTTCCATACCCACTGTATATATATATGTGTGTGTGTGTGTGTGTTTGTATATACAGTATGACAACTGAAGACAAATGAAGGGTGTCTATCTTCTATCTTCCCACTGAGCATATTAGGGGTGTTTAGTTTTGTTTCTCATGATACCATTTCAGACTTAAAATGAAAATGCCATAATCTAATAACTACGTTGCAAAATGTTGGCCCTCCACTAAAAATTTAATTTGGATTTCAAAAGAAAGTAATTGAAGATCCCTGATTTTAGGGTAGAGAAATAAGTACACAGCAAATCTACAGAGAGTGAGAGAGAAATCCTGGATATGTGGAAAGTTGTGTCTTAAAATGTGTGTATTTGTGCTCTGTGCTGTGGCGCTTGTATAAGGTTGTCTGAGAGCAGTTAGAGAAAGAGAATTCTTGAAGAGGGGGAATGTGTGCTGGTAATTGCCTCAGTTTGGATATTTGCCCTGGGGTTCACAATAACAGTCCTCTCCTCTCATCTTAGAACAAGGGCCAATCATACCTCATGGCTATGCAACTACCCTCTGCAACACAATATAATAAGAGTCCACAAAACAACCCCTATTACTGAACTTTAATCCCAACAGTGATTAATGGATGCTGAGTAAAGTAATTCACTATTTAAAAACTGAAAAATTCAATATGATTAGTTCACCCCCAGTGCACTTGACAATTACAAAAAACTAGATAAAGTACTGATTTAACAATAATTCACAGTTAATTTATGCACATAATTCATCTTGCCACAGAACAATTGACCATAATAACAGTTTCAACACTGCCATATACACTCCCCTCCAAAAGTATTGGAACAGTGAGGCCAATTCCGCTATTTTTGATGTAGACTGAAAACATTTGGGTTTGACATCAAAAGATGAATAGGAGACAAGAGATCAACATTTCAGCTTTTATTTTCAGGAATTTTCATCTAGATCTGATAAACACAATTTTGAAGATAGCACATTTTGTTTGAACCCACCCATTGCTCATGTGACCAAAAGTATTGGAACATGTGACTGACAGGTGTGTTTTGTTGCCCTGGTGTGTCCTATTATATTGATTATTCAAACAATAAATAGCACTGAATGTCTGCGCTTAGTTTCAGATTTGGATTTTGCCTATGCAGACTGCATTCATAGTTAGATGTGTAACCAGCAAGAAAACCAGAGAGCGGTCTATGGGTGAAAAACAAGGAATGGTGAAGGTGAGAGAAGATGGAAAATCAATCAGAGCCACTGCACAAACATTGGCCATAGCCAGTACAACTATTTGGAATGTCCCGAGGAAGAAAGAAACCACTGGTGTACTAAGTAACAGACCTCGAACAGGTAAACCAAGGAAAACATCAGCAGTTGACGACAGAAACATTGTGACAGCTGTAAAGTAAGACCTTAAAACAACTGTTAGTGACATCGGCAACAACCTCCAGAGGGCAGGAGTGAAGGTATCACAATCTACTGTTCGCAGAAGACTTCATGAACAAAAGTACAGAGTGTACACCAGAAGATGCAAACCAAAGAATAGGAGACAAGCCTCAAAAATTCTGGGACAAGGTTTATGGACTGATGAGACAAAGATGAACCTTTACCAAAGTGATGGAAAGGCTAAAGTTTGGAGAAAAAAAGGATCTGCTCATGATCCCAAACATACAAGCTCAACTGAAACACAGTGGAGTTAATGTCATGGCTTGGGCTTTCATCGCGTCTTCTGGGATGGGCTCATTAATCTTAACTGATGATGTAACATGACGGCAGCAGCAAAATGAACTCAGAAGTCTACAGAAACATTTTGTCTGCCAATTTACTGAAAGATGCAACCAAACTGATTGGGAGATCCTTCATCACGCAGCAAGATAATGACCCAAAACATAGTGCCAAAGCAACAAAGGAGTTCATCAGGGGCAAGAAGTGGAAGGTTTTAGACTGGCCAAGTCAATCTCCAGACTTAAACCCTATAGAGTATGCATTTTACCTGCTAAAGAAGAGACTGAAGGGAGTAACCCCCCAAAACTGAAAGAGGCTGCGGTGAAAGCCTGGAAAAGCATCACAAAAGAAGAATGCAAAAGTTTGGTGATGCAACAGGCTTGATGCAGTTATTGCAAGCAAAGGATTTGCAACTACATATTAAGTCTTATTCACTTTAATCTA